AAGATAACATACAGCAACGTTTACATCAAAGATAACATACAGCAACGTTTACATCAAGATAACACACCACAACGTTTACCGAGACATAAACACCAACAGACGATACACCGTCGGTTTTAAGAGCACGACGACGTTTGTATTAAAAGAAAGTATCCCAACGTCTGTGTTAGTGACGACAAGAATTACAGTACTAGACAACCCAGAGTGTCACGCTACCTTACACTTAAGACTGACTACAGGCCTTCAGTCTGGTGTTCTTTGACCCTTAGCCCTCAGCAGTAACTGTGACCTTCCGCAGTAACTGTGACCTTCAGCAGTAACTGTGACCTTTAGCAGTAACTGTGACCTTCAGCAGTAACTGTGACCTTCAGCTGTAACTGTGACCTTCCGCAGTAACTGTGACCTTCAGCATTAACTGTGACCTTCCGCAGTAACTGTGACCTTCAGCATTAACTGTGACCTTCCGCAGTAACTGTGACCTTCAGCATTAACTGTGACCTTCCGCAGTAACTGTGACCTTCAGCAGTAACTTCACCTTCAGCAGTAACTGTGATCTTCAGCAGTAACTGTGACCTTCCGCAGTAACTGTGACCTTTAGCAGTAACTGTGACCTTCAGCAGTAACTGTGACCTTCAGCAGTACCTATGACCTTCAGCAGTAACTGTGACCTTTAGCAGTAACTTCGACCTTTAGCAGTAACTGTGACCTTTAGCAGTAACTGTGACCTTCCGCAGTAACTGTGACCTTTAGCAGTAACTGTGACCTTCAGCAGTAACTGTGACCTTCAGCAGTAACTGTGACCTTCAGCAGTACCTATGACCTTCAGCAGTAACTGTGACCTTTAGCAGTAACTTCGACCTTTAGCAGTAACTTCGACCTTTAGCAGTAACTGTGACCTTTAGCAGTAACTGTCACCTTCAGCAGTAACTGACACCTTCAGCAGTAACTGTCACCTTCAGCAGTCACTGTCACCTTCAGCAGTAACTGTCACCTTCAGCTGAGTCTTTGACCTCCGGCACAGACTTGCACTATATCTGGTAATGATAAAATATTCTTCTCAAGTTTCATCAACACGTCTGTACCGACACAAAAGTTAGGTTCCCCAGACGACGAAAAGTTTATAGACACTCAGAGAGACAGACACTCAGAGAGACAGACACTCAGAGACACACTCAGACAGTCAGAAACACGGACACATACTCAGACACGCAGACATCCAGTAAGACGGCTATACACCCAGACAGATAAAACAGACATCCAGGTTCAGATACCCAGATAAACACAGGCATTCAGACAAAAAACATATCCCCAATAAATCAATTTTCAACGAGTATACATAAGAGTACTGAAAAGTCTACAAAATAACAACACACACACACACACACACACACACACACACACACACACACACACACACACACACACACACACACACACACACACACACACACACACACACACACACACACACACACACACACACACACACACACACACACACACACACACACACACACACACACACACACACACACACACACACACACACACACACACACACACACACACACACACACACACACACACACACACACACACACACACACACACACACACACACACACACACACACACACACACACACACACACACACACACACACACACACACACACACACACACACACACACACACACACACACACACACACACACACACACACACACACACACACACACACACACACACACACACACACACACACACACACACACACACACACACACACACACACACACACACACACACACACACACACACACACACACACACACACACACACACACACACACACACACACACACACACACACACACACACACACACACACACACACACACACACACACACACACACACACACACACACACACACACACACACACACACACACACACACACACACACACACACACAGATCAGACGAGGCACCCGATACCATCCTACAGCACAACCATTTGGCCTTAACCTTAGAAGACGAGGCGCTATTCTGGGCCGTCTCCCCCATGACCGAGGAAAACGCGTCAATTACCGTACAAAGGAAGAGCCTGAAATACGGTGCCCTCCTCCTCCCTCCACGCCATAAGTCATACTCCCTCCCTCCCTCCCCACCCACCCACAATTATCTTCCCCTTGTTGCTATGTCCTGTTTGTAAGATGGCTTGGGGTTGGGAAGATCCTCTTTCAGTCAGAGAGAGAGAGAGAGAGAGAGAGAGAGAGAGAGATTATCCACGTGGAAAAAGAATCACTTGAAGCTTTTAATTAGACGGTGGTAGGATCATCCCCACGCCCTTGACTGTACCAGCACCAGCACCAGCAGCCACCACCAGGAGCACCACCAGCAGGACGGGCTATGGTGTCATTACCATCAGCGTAAAGGTTATAGTCTACCATTAGGCTGACAAATAACACAGAGGTTCTCTCGCCCGTCCCGACCTCCTTCAAGCTGGTGGTCTGCCCATCACTCACCCTCCTCGCTTTCACACGACTTGTCAGTCCTGGCTCCTGTATGCACTTCATAAGTGCTTGTTGACCAGACTGACCTGACCACTTGAGTACTAGAACTGACTGTACACACAAGACACTGAATACTAGTTGTTCATATTCACCTGACAGCTATAACTCGCGTATCGCTCATTAATATGTCAAGGGTTCGATCCTCGGCCAGGACACACGTAAGAAGCGTGGTATCCAGTGTGACCCTACCAAACACTACTTGTTTCTCAGACTCTGGTTTCCTCCTGTACTGACACTGGATAGACCAACCGCCCGAACGGCTAGTAAGCTGATAAGTAGTGAAAAAAAACACTCACTTGAACAATGAGTACAATCTCTTAGTACTCACGTAACACTAAATTAGTGAGTACGAATGTTTACACTCCTTAACGCCTAACAAACACGCGATCGACTTGTGCCTTAACTGATCAAGTGCTTCAAAAGTACAGGGACGAAGCATAACGAAAAGTTTCTTACTTTCACCTCAGGTAATTGTAAGAGGGAAGTAACTAATACGATCTTATTGACTGGTGGTTTAAAACATTGAGAGAGATAGAGAGCATCCACCTTGCTCAGGGACCATACTGGTATCCCTCCGCCTCTCAAGTAACTGCACAATACCTCGTCTTATACACTCTATACAATCTAAGTTAACATCATGGGGCATTGTTGGGCTCGAGACATTCACTCGTCATATTTACAGAGACGAATGTCTTAGGGTAAGTGACTCCCCCGTGGCTACTCCTTCGCCTGGACTACGGCAAGTATAATCGTGTTGGACACATTACGTCAGAAGTGAATACTTATTACTGTATTTCGGAGAGTTTGTTCTTCACGTTATATTCTCACATTTCATTACAATATCTGCACAATTTGTCCTGTATGACGACCTAGACAAGTAATAAAATATAATATGCATAAATAAAAAAAAAATATATCAAAATACACGAACTCTGCCATGGTAATTCTCTTTGGACGATAGTTTGTGATCCGTAAGAGGAATCCACAGACTATTTCACGAGACGCAAAAATATTAGTGTTATGACGAACTACACCACAACAGCAGACATGCCTCACGTACAGCATATCCTCCCTCAACAACCCTCACATCTATCCCCGGAACAGAGTCTATTCTTAGCATATCTTCCTGGCGTCTATCTCAGCGTCTCCAGCCAGCACCGGCCTACCATCCCTCCACCACCATCACCATTCATCAATCAGGTCTTATTAACTAACTAGTAACTCTGACAGCCATCGTCGAGTCCTCCGCCTCCCCCTCCGAGACGTTCCCACACACAGATACCGTCAGTGATAATTCTATCTCTCTCAAATTGTACTTGTGTTAAGGTGAGGAAGAGCGTAAATTACAATCATTAGATCACAAAGTCGTTAATATATTCATATATGAGAGAATAAAATGTGATAAAATGTAGACACAATAAAATTAATCAAAAAGAATAAAAAAATATACGCGTGAGGGCGAACACTGACAGTGCCACACGTACTTTACCGGAGATAAATATTACAGTACGATACAGTCCCAACCAACACAAGAGCACAGTGGACTACATCCAAGGCCTCCACATTACTCCTAACTAGTTAATAAATTCCATACGTGACTAAAAGTACGGGAGACTGCCAAGTTTTCGTCCCTCAACACGATCCCATCTACACAAGAACTCAGTCTCGACTTTCCCACCAGAACTCTCTTTATCTGGCTCACCAACGGCTCCTCCTCCACACTCGGTGTATTACAGACCATCAACTACACACTTTAGTCACCCTCCCCCCCCCCGCCACACAATGCCCTTTCTTCTCCCCGTCAAGATACAACCCACTAACTCCCTCCTCCCTCCCCCATACTACAGCCTACTGCCTCCTTACACTAGAGTCACCACCTCTTACACCAGTCACCACCTCCCAACACCACACTCATCACCTCCTTACACCACAGTCATCACCTCCTTACACCACAGTCATCACCTCCTTACACCACAGTTACCATCTCACACCAATCACCACCTCCTTACACTACTGTCACCACCTCCTTACACCACAGTCATCACCTCCTAGCACCACAGTCATCACCTCCTAGCACCACAGTCATCACCTCCTTACACCACAGTCACCACCTCCTAATACCACAGTCATCATGTCCTTACACCATATTCATCACCTCCTAACACCACAATCATCACCTCCTTACACCACAGTCACCACCTCCTTACTCACAGTCACCACCTCCTTACACTACAGTCATCACCTCCTAGCACCACAGTCATCACCTCCTAGCACCACAGTCATCACCTTCTTACACCACAGTCTTCCACCACAATGCCTCTCGACTCCTCCTCTCCTTATATCAGTACCCCCTCCAGGTCCTCTTCAGTAGTGAGGGCGGTAAAGGGGAGGCAGACGTCTCTTCAACTACAGGTAATTATAGCTATGGGTGCTGAAGCAGGAGTCAACATGGGCGTGGCGCTGGTGAGGACCACTACCACCAGTCAAGTCCTGACACCTGCCCACCGTACTCTGGCCACCCAGCTTGTCGGGGAGTGTGGCAAGGAAGACAGTGGTAGGTGATGTGTGAGTGGCTGGTGGTGAGGGATGTGTGAGGTAGGTGGTGGTGGTAGGTGATGTGTGAGGTAGGTGTTGGTGGTGAGGGATGTGTGAGGTAGGCGGTACGTGTGAGGTGACTGATGGAGGTTAATGAGGGACAAGGAACAACTATGGCTGACTAATGGATCCCCAAACTGAGGTATCCTAACCTCTGTCTCCCCCCCCCCTTTTAAGACAATACGAATAGGAACTGGGCATTATAAAGATGACGAAGAGGAAGAAATGACGAAGAAATTGGGTACGTGAGGAAAGATGAAGAGAATAAGCCACAACGAATGAGGGAAAAACGTTCAATCATAACATTAAACAAACAGGTTAATAAACAAGTAAACCAAGAAATAATACAAAACGAAATTTTGAGAATAAGTAAATTAGTTTATAAAAATGTGTGGAGATGGGGAGAGTAAAATGAAGTTTGAGAATAATTAAATAACTCTTATTGGTGGAGTAAACCTGATAAACAAAATAAGCACCATAAATATATATATATGATCGAAAGAAAATACTTAAGCCAAAAAACTGAGGAATTAAACAAGCCGAGAAGGAAACAACAGAGAGAGAGAGAGAGAGAGAGAGAGAGAGAGAGAGAGAGAGAGAGAACATAAACAGAAACAGCGACGGAAATAAAGAAAGATTTCGAGAGAAAAATTAGAGCATCAGAGTGGCCAGCCTCGTAACTCAGCCTCCACCATGACAGTCTCGTTGATTGGATGGAAGACTCCTGGTTGATGGCCACCCCAGAGAGGTCTCCTGGCCAAACTACAGCCACACATATGAAGATGTTTGGACTAGACCTTCTGTACAAAGTTCAGACCAACAGCGCTTCCTGCCACCCTGGCGGACAGTTCCCTTCGATATCACAATTCCGACGTATCTGCCTAAAAAATTAATTATACAAGGTATTTATCTCCAACACACTGCCAAAGTGAGAGCTCTTGAACACATACACACTCTACAGACTGATGATAATATCACACAGACCATCTACACTGATGGATCTCTTAACACCGCCTGTGGGAGGGCTGGAAGTGCTATTGTTGTGACTCAACCTGACGGTAATATAATTGAGAAAGGAGTTAGAATTAACAATTGGGCATCCACTCTACAAACTGAACTAGTTGCCATACTCACAGCTATTAAATTCATTGAAACCACTGTCAATGACAGTCTCATCATCAGTGACTCTCTATACTCACTACTTGCCCTTAACACCCTCAACTCAAGTTGTCACGCGCTTGTCTCTGAAGCCAGACACAAATATGCGTGCCTTGTTGACCCGGGTGTCAAGGTCAAACTGTTGTTGATCCCCTCTCACATAGGCCTCATAAATCATGACACAGTTGATGCCCTCGCCAAACTCGCGTCTAACAAAGGCACCGTTGAATACAATTTGGGTCTGTCAAAAAGAGCCCTTAGAACTGTAATTAGGAAAGAACTTATTGATGAATTTGACGCAAGTAGACAAGTGCAAACAGGCACTAGTCGATCCATAGTTAACCATGATGAGATGTATCAAGTGAAACATGTATATGGAGCAAGTAACAAGATCACTAGATTACAAGATGTTGTAACCGCTAGATTAAGGTTAGGATATAAGTACCTCTGGCAGTACGTTCCTCAAGCAGATGTGAAGAAGACTAAATGTAAAGTGTGTGGCCAGACATATGGCCACACACTTGAACACTACGTCCTCGACTGTGTGAAGATAGAACCTTTTAGGGACAGGTCCAAGCACACTGTGTGTGAAATGGCACAACACTTCATCTCTAATGGTAAGATAGCCGACATATTAAGATTGTATCCTGACCACGGGGGTTAATTATTGTGACCCGTTGTAAACTCTATTCTGTAATCCTTTTGCGCTACCGCTCACAGGATGAGTATGGGGTGCACAATAAAGTAAACGCTGTAAGCGGCAAAAAAAAAAAAAATCATTGGTTGATGGCCGCCCCAGAGAGGTCTCCTGGATGGTGGCCACCCAAGAGAGGTCTCCTGGTTGATGGCCACTCCAGAGAGGTCTCCTGGTTGATGGCCACCCCAGAGAGGTCTCCTGATAGATGGCTGCCCCAGAGAGATCTCCTGGTAGATGGTTGTCCCAGAGAGGTCTCCTGGGAGATGGCTGTTCCAGAGAGGTCTCCTGGTTGATGGCTGCCCCCGGAGAGGTCTTCTGGTTAATGGCTGCCCCAGAGAGATCTCCTGGTAGATGGCCGCTCCAGAGAGGTCTCCTGGTAGATGGCCGCCCCAGAGAGGTCTCCTGGTAGATGGCTGCCCCAGAGAGGTCTCCTGGTAGATGGCTGCCCCAGAGAGTCTCCTGGTAGATGGCTGCCCCAGAGAGTCTCCTGGTAGATGGCTACCTACCAACCTTCCTCACCCACCGTCTTCATCATCTGTATACAATATCATTTTGGCTCCTGTCTGACGATACTACAGCACTATGTTTAATAGCATGTTTAAACACATACAGATATATTAATGAGAGTGTCTTAAAGTAAAGGTTTTTATTACTAGGTTCATCATATTATGTAGTCAGGTATCTATAGGTGTTTGCAATACCTAGAATGATAAAAATAAGTGAGATTTACCTTAATAACTATTTCCATGTATTTAGATGACATTTATCGCTCTAAATGCACAGCTAGTGGAGTATAAAACACCAGCTACACCCATACCAGTATACACCACGAAATACACTCATACAAGGCTACAACACCAGCTACACCCATACCAGTATACTCGTACAACACCAGCTACACTCATACCAGTATACAACACCAGCTACACCCATACCAGTATACAACACCAGCTACACCCATACCAGTATACAGTTTCCACTCTTGATACAACACAAGTCACACTCTCAGCTGAATGCAGGTGGATGACGTTCCATTATCAAGGACGTCTGGTTACTGACGGCCAATAATGTTCACTGTACTGTACTGCAACACTGAACACTTGGTATATTCCGCCTTGGGTGACGCCAGAGATGTGCTGTAGGTGGAGGGTGAGGCAGGAGGTGACCAGCGGTGGAGGGTGAGACGGGGCGGGTGACCAGTGGTGGAGGGTGAGACGGGGCGGGTGACCAGTGGTGGAGGGTGAGACGGGGCGGGTGACCAGTGGTGGAGGGTGAGACGGGGCGGGTGACCAGTGGTGGAGGGTGAGACGGGGCGGGTGACCAGTGGTGGAGGGGTGAGACAGGAGGTGACCAGTGGTGGGGTGTGAGACGGGCAAGGGACCAGTGGGGAAGGTGAGACGGGGCGGGGACCAGTTGTGGAGGTGAGACAGGGAGGTGACCAGTGGTGGAAGGTGACGGGCGGTGACCGTGGTGGGAAGGGGTGAGACGGGGGTGGTGACCAGTGGAGGGGTGAGATGTAAGGGGTGACCAGTGGTGGAGGGGGTGAGACGGGGCGGTGACCAGTGGTGGAGGGGTGAGACGGGCGGGTGACCAGTGGTGGAGGGGGAGACAGGAGGCACCAGTGGTGCATGTGAGATGCAAGGGTGACCAGTGGTGGAGGGGTGAGACGGGAGGGTGGGACCAGTGGGGAGGGTGAGACGGGCGGGTGACCAGTGGTGGAGGGTGAGACAGGAGGGTGACCAGGTGGTGAAGGTGAGATAAGGGTGACCAGTGGTGGAGGGTGAGACGGGCGGTGACCCGTGGTGGAGGGGGTGAGATTAAGGGGTGACCAGTGGTGAAGATGAGGCAAGGGTGACTAGCAGAAGATGAGGCGGGGCGGGGTGACCTGTGGTGGAGGGGTGAGATGGGGCGGGTAACCAGTGGTGAGGGGTGAGACGGGCAAGGTCCAGGGTGAAGATGAGGCAGTGAAGGAAGAGGAGGTATCCGGCTGGTGGAGGAAGATGAAGCCAGAGGAGTACTGCCAAAAGGAGGAAGATGAGGCCAGAGGAGTACTGCTGGGGTGTTGAGGAAGATGAGGCCAGAGGAGTACTGGGCTGTCAAAAGTGGAGGAAGAGGCCAGAGGAGCAGCTGGGCTGGGGCAAGGAGGAAGACGAGGCCAGAGGAGTACTTCACATTGTTGAGGAAGATGAGGCCAGAGGAGTACTAAGCCAGTGTTGGGAGGAAGACAGAGGCCAGAGAAAATACTGTTAATGTTGGAGGAAGACAGAGGCCAGAGAGCATTGTCAAAAGTGGAGGAAGATGAGGCCAGAGGAGTACTGTTAGTGTTGGAGGAAGATGAGGCCAGAGGAGTACTGTTAGTGTTGGAGGAAGATGAGGCCAGAGGAGTACTGTTAGTGTTGGAGGAAGATGAGGCCAGAGGAGTACTGTTAGTGTTGGAGGAAGATGAGGCCAGAGGAGTACTGTTAGTGTTGGAGGAAGATGAGGCCAGAGGAGTACTGTTAGTGTTGGAGGAAGATGAGGCCAGAGGAGTACTGTTAGTGTTGGAGGAAGATGAGGCCGAGGAGTACTGAGTAGGAAGATGAGGCCAGAGGAGTACTGTAGCCAGAGGAGTGTTGGAGGAAGATGAGGCCAGAGGAGTACTGTTAATGTTGGAGGAAGATGAGGCCAGAGGAGTACTGTCAGTGTTGGAGGAAGATGAGGCCAGAGGAGTACTGTCAGTGTTGGAGGAAGATGAGGCCAGAGGAGTACTGTTAGTGTTGGAGGAAGATGAGGCCAGAGGAGTACTGTTAGTGTTGGAGGAAGATGAGGCCAGAGGAGTACTGTTAGTGTTGGAGGAAGACAATCAGAGGTAAAGGAGTACAGCCAGTGACAGAGGAAGACACCCAGAGGGGAGTAAGACAACCAGTGGTGGGAGAAGAGGAGACTAGGGGTAAAGTGGAGGAAGACAGAAGAGGTGGTGGAGGAAGACAGAAGAGGTGGTGGAGGAAGACAGAAGAGGTGGTGGACCAAGAAAACCAGAGGTGGAAGCAGGACATGGAGGCAGGTATACGTTCAGTAAACAGGAGTGACTCAGCTGAACACCAAGACCCTGGTGTTGTGTGTGT